TTCATAATCAAGGGTGGAGAGAGATCTTATGGGCACTGGGAGTGGCAGAAGAAATTTTCTCAGCTTTGCTCAAAGAATTAGGATTACTTATTTTTAGGAAGATAGTGTTTATTATGCTTCTTTGTAAGGAAAAGACCCTCCTGTAGGTGTGAGCAGAACGCTGCAGATTTTGCTTTACCTTTTCCAATGTTTCTGAGTGGAGTCCTTAATCAGAAACATCTGTTATACTGTGCACTCCGGAGCGCCTCCCCAGAGCTACTACTGAGTCAGAAGGTCGGGGGTGGGTCCCAGGATTCCAGCTTTCAACAGGTGATTATTATGCCTGTGAGAAACTCACGGTTTACTTGAGGCTTCTATTGTCCCAGAATAAAACGTCCAGGGCTTTGTTTCTTTGCCATATTTTAGGACACGAGACTTTCACCAGAGGCTGAGAACCCCAAGGCCTGAAGATATAGTGATCACTGAGTGGACCTCAGGCCTTCCCCTTGGGGTCCTGCCACCTGCATGGCACTACCAGGGGGAGCACTGCTGAAGGTCCCCTCACTCTGCCGCCTTCTCCCTCTCCCTTCTTGTTGCCTACGAAGCTCCTGCCCACTGTCCATCGGCCCTGCTTCCCATCTCCTCTGCCCTCTCTCCCTGCCCTTCAATAAACTTCAGCTTCCCCAGACGTTAGAGATGCTCTCTTCTGCTTCCAGCCCTACAAAAGCCACCAAGGCAAGAACATACAGATAACTAGCGGGAACCTGCTGTATAGCACAGGAAGCTCAGCTCGGTGCTCTGTGATGACCTAAATGGGTGGGATGAGGTCCAAGAGGGAGGGGATATATGTAAACATATAGCTGATTCATTTCGTTGTACAGCAGAAATTAACACAACATTGCAAAGCAACTATACTCCAATTAAAAAAAAAAAAAAAGAACATACCAGGAGACTAGCTAACTTCTAGGAATGAGGCAAGGAGAAAACGCAGAGAACAAAACACAGGGTAGTATCTCAATAAATTATCCAGTCACCCACTGAAGCCTGAAAACCGCAGGTCTGCGTATATAAGTCAGTCTGAAAAATGGTGAGCTGAATCAGGAAGCCAGCCAGCCAGTGAGTGGCTGGTGTGGAGGGAGGTGGTCAGGCCCCACCTGAAGATGGGTCGTTGTACTCACCCTCTCCCCACAGCCAAGCTTTCAGTTGTCACCAGAAGAAACAGTTACCTTGGCTCTTAGGGCCGGTCCTATTTAGGACACGAGGGACTTAGAAAGCCCTGCCCAGATACTCACGTCCCACACATTGAGTCACTCAACATGCTTCTCTGGTCTTGATCTTGAGTTCCAGTTCTGGTAACTGGACTTCTGGCTATTTCAGACACTAGGCTGCTGAGATCTCCACTTCTCATAAGGATCCTGCATTTCTTATTTCTGGTGCCCAGTGCATCCTAATTCACATAGCTCTCAGGCCCTGTGATATCAGGGTGCTACCTCGATCGTACCTCGATTCTTCTCAGGGACTGGAGTCCCGTTCTGAACCGATTTCCACTGCCTAAGACAGAGTCCCCCAAAACAAAGTTCTGTTCTTCTGAATTCACCTGTTCCTGAAGTCTCTCCTGCTAGGCGAGCCATTTGCCTACCCGGACTCCTGAACACTGGCTTTTGTTTACTTCTAGCAACTACTCAGGTCCAGTGTTTCTGAAACCTCTGTGTGCATCAGAATCCCTGGAGGGCCTGGTAAAAAACTGATTGCTGGGCTCCGTCTCTGATTTTCTGGTTCTGCAGGATTGGAGTGGGACCAGAGGATTGAATTTCTAACCTGTTCCCAGGTGATGCTGGGACCTGCACTTTGAGAACCACCACAAGCCTACTGTTAGAATAAATTCTCCTCCAGAAGTTTCGCTGTCCCCGTCCTCCAGGAAGCAAGAATGATTTGTGATCCCAGGACCTCTGCCTTTTCCATATTCTATTTCGGTTTATAAGGTCATATCTAGCCTGATGAAAGCCATTTGTGTATCGTGGGTATTTAACTGAATTCACTCATGCGTTTCACTTCCAAACCATTCTGTAGTCCCAGATGCAGAATCACATTGTCACAGGATATTTTCTTATTGCAGAGTTGGTGAACGTCAACACCACTACTGAGCCTCTAGTCTGCAGCCAGGCGCTCACACGCATATCACTCCAAGTCCTGGTAGGAAAGACACCCCACAGTCCCACGGGGAACATGAGGAGAGCTCAACAAAGGAACTACTTCCGAAGTGTGGGCAGAGTGTCAGGAGACCACAAAGGATGCTGTGGTCCCCTGGGGCTAGGAAGAGTGGGATCCCAGTCCTGGAACCCACAGAGTGTAGCTGTTTGGAGAAGGCTGCCTCATGGGAACTGTGGCTTCTGTGGGGCAAGAGGCTGATCGACAACGACCCAGCAGGAAGGGAGCTGGGGTAGTCAATACCTGGCTTTCTCTCTCCTCCCGCCTCTGGTCCTGCACTGGTCCTCCACGGGCACAACCCCCAGGAAGTCAGGTGGCAACAGAGCCTGTTGGTATGGTGCCTGTGGACCAAGCTCCTGAGGGTACAGCTCCGGTAGAAAAGGGCAACACGTGAATCTGGAAGGGCCTGTGTTGGTTGTCAAGGGCCACACAGACCCTTCTAAGCAGCCGTCTCAGGAAATGATAGCTTCCTCACCTTACAGGCTCTGAGGGACTAGGTAACCTCCACTGCATTAACATTGTTAATAGACTTCAGAGCTGAGGCTCAAAATCATGGTGGGTTTGCCTCCACTAGATGAAAGGGGACTACAGAAGACAAGAGTACCTCCCTGGAGACCTGGGAAGTCTCCCATATTTCGTGTGTCTGTTCGTCCTGGGAGACTTCAGCTGCTGAGAGGAGAACTTCACATCGTGTGCTTCTGAGATGCTGGGGCAGGAAACGGTGTTTGTTGTGGTAAGTGCAGACGGGTTCGAAGAAAATCCGCTTTCATACAGACCATGTGCTCTAATTCACCAGCACAGACCCGAAGGAAGGACATATATATTCTTTGGGGTCTATAAGAAACAGCAAACAGAACAGGCATGGATTAAAACATGCTGACTTCTTTTGGTGGGTGTCACTCCCACCTTTGCCGGTCAATCATTGTATAGCTTTGTCTCAGCATCATCATCGGTCCATTGTTGCTTACCAAACACTCTCATGTGCATGGCTCACAGGCAGGCCTCACAATTTTCTGTCTAAATAATAATACTTGTGAAACTTATGACATCAATACATCAATAACTTAATTGATGCTTGCTAATTATTTTGGCACTCTTAGGTAGAAGGTGCTAAATAACTCTTATTTTCCTCTTCTGAGACGGGCACAGAAACGAAGAGATGTGGCATTGAAGGAGAGAGATCTTGCAATATGACTTTTCCTTTGCAACACTGAACATTTTACTGCTAAACACAATGTGAGCGCCTTTTTAAAAAGCCAACGTAATTGTTGTAGAACTTCAAAAACATGCTCTTCAGCAATGTGCTTTCTGTCTGCCTGGGACCTTTGTGTCATGGCTGTAGGTCAGCAAAGAGAGAAGCGTTCAGAAAAATGATCTAGGGCTTCCCTGGTGGCGCAATGGTTGAGAGTCCGCCTGCCGATGCAGGGGACACGGGTTCGTGCCCCGGTCGGGGAAGATCCCACATGCCGCGGAGCGGCTGGGCCCATGAGCCATGGCCGCTGAGCCTGAGCATCCGGAGCCTGTGCTCCGCAGCGGGAGAGGCCACAACAGTGAGAAGCCCACATACCGCAAAAAAAAAAAAAAAGAAAAGATCTAAGCTCTCATTCTGGGAGGAAGAGGAAAGATTAAAAACACATTTACATATCTTCAGAGGCAGGGCAGGGAAGAGGGACGGGGTGAGTAGAAAGAAGACTTAGGACCACAGGGGTGCAGGAACCCCGGGGTATCGGAAAAGCACCTGCCTATCTGTAGAGGCGGCTGCTTTTGACTGCAGTTGATTCTCTGCTGTTTAGGGGTGTGGACCTCGATCTTTGTAGTTTCTCTTAAAAAGCCAGGATCTGAAATTTAACTTTTCATTGTTGATCATTAAAAAAATAATGCACTAAATAAATAAAACATAACATAAAATACATAAATAAAATACAACATAACATGAAATAAAAATAACATAAAATTTAAAACACTTAAAAAAACACTAAGTAAAATAAACATAATATCCTGTGTCTCTGTGAGTCTAGGTCAGGGGAGCTAAGAATAGAAACCCATTATTCTAAAAATAAAGAGATCCATTGAATGAACTATTTCTAGTCTTAAAATGTAAAATTTATCTTCCAGAATTGAAGTCAATTGGGGCTAAAGGTTACAGGGGATATAGGTTATAGGATATATATTAAGAAGATCACTATTTTAAGCTTACTTTACTCAGAGGTGTTTGCTCAGATCCAACCTTTGTTCTTTCCCCCCTTTAATTTATGAAGAGCACAGATACCACATGCAATTCGCTTTTAATGTATTTTTAAAGTTCAGACTGAAAAGTAAAAGCCTCTTATCTCCCATTTGCTTAAGCTGGTTAAGCAAAAATAGGTCTCTTTTTCTTCACAACTTGCACAAATCATTTTATTAATAATTTATTAATAATTTATCACAATGTTCCATAGCAGAGATAAAGCAGACGGCTACATTATCATTATGTGCTCAGGGGCTCTGCAGTGCCTTTAATTCCCCTGCACCTGCTGTCACCTGTGCTCTGCTGTCTCTCTAAGGTTTGTATTTTCTATGATGCTGGTTGTATAACCTTTAGCATCACGTTGCAAGCTGCCTGGCTAGGTTGCTGCTGCATAGGGAAAGCAGATGGATACAGCTTGCTGTGACCCCATTTTCAACCCCGCTTCTCAGGGCCGTGCACCACGATGTGGAGACAAGTCCCTGGGTCACGATGAATCGGGAACCTCCCTGCTGATCTTGGCTCAGCCATGAACTGGGCTGGAGAATGAGGCAATCTGGGGTGGAGTCTCTTTATTTATTAAATGTGGGCATCTGACACTATTTAGGTTGCCCCTTTCCAGCTCAGAGGGAAAAGCAGATTCCTCACCAGGTGAATGCTTACCTGTGATGTCCTTAAAGCCTGTCATTCTCTACTCAATGACCAGACAGCATTGGACACAGACCATGGCAAGCTCAGGACTTACTGTCAGCAGAACTCTCTTCCCTTTCCACGATATCTGACTGGGAATGCTGTCTTCTCTTGTCCCCTGCAGAGAGGATCCATCCTCAGCTTCTTACTTAACCTCTTTGAGCAAAGCCTCTCCTTTGAGCAAGTGTTCGGTCCTTTCGAGGCATTGGCACTTCTAGAAATATCATGAATTAAGCACTCACATGTATTATCTCATTGAAGGCAACTTGATGAACTAGGAATTGTTTTTGTTTTGAAAATGTGGACACACAGGCTGAGATAAATTAAGGACACAGGGTTGGTAAGGGATGGAGCTGAGATCTGAACCCTTCTAAGACTATTATCTGCCACTAGAATGTAACAGAAAAGGGATTTTAAAAGCTTCTCGCTTACTTCTCTCTCTCCTCTTTCTCTCTCTCTTTTACTTAGATTCTGCCCAGGAAAAAAAAAGTTCTTCATCAGTGGGTCTTCGGGCACATGTAAGCCCGCAGTGAAGCCTGCTCCTCTCTGAGGTCCTTGAATTTTATGTCTACGTGGAGGATGGGAAGAAGAAGGGGCAGGAGCGGGGGAGGGAGAGTTAGGAATTCCAAAGAGTTGTGGAATTTTCAGTAGAAAGAGGAGGAAAGAGAACTATGTAAAAGTAGAAAGCAAGAAATAAAGGAAATGCTTATTGCCACTAAAGTGTCAACTTACCCCAGGCATTAATCAGATGCAATTTATTATCAGTATAAATAGTTGAAGTATACTTTTGCGTTTTCATGTGATCACTCTTTAGTTCTCATTTGGGTATCAGTTTTATTGCATTTGTTCTTTCGTATTGTTGAGAAAGAATTACCACACAGAACTGAGGTTATAAGGGTGGAATTCTGGACACCCCAAGATACATATTGAGGATAATTTGGTCAAGGTGCTTTCCCAGAATCATTTACCTTGCTGCTGCCTACTTCTCATGAGGCTCCTTATGGAAGATCAATTAGGTCAGCTAAAGAAGCAATTTGGTTAGTAAGAAAGCTGAAATCAGAAGGTCAACTTTTTTTTTTTTTTTGGCAACAGAGATTTTGTCAAAAGTGAGTCATTTTCACAATAGCTGCCATCAGTAGAGTGTGATGATTAAGAATGAGTCAGGCTAAAGCCCTGGCTCCCTACTTCCCAGCTGCCCTTGACAACTCACCTCTGCCTCAGTTATCCTGTATGTAAAATGGGGAAAAGGACACTACCCATATCCTAGTGTGTGTTGTTTGGTTTAATTAGAGTAACACGTTTATAGCACTTAGTACAGCATCTGGCAAATGCTAAATGCTATGTTGTAGATATGTATACATGTATAATATATACATGTGTATGTATACATGTATAATGTATAATGTTTACCGGCTGTTTGTTGTGATAGAGCAGAAGCACCTCAAGATAGAACTCTCCAGAGCCTGAGGCCCTCATGTAGCCTAGCTAGAAGAGCTGCTTTGGGCCTGCACCTCAGAAGAGGGACTTAGGCAAGTACCCAGTACTTAGTCCATCTCCCTCATTCATTCATTCCCTCTGCAAGCTCCCTACTTGCCTGGATGTCTCCACTGTGTGGTCCTGAGTTGGATGGGATAGAATTCCTCAACTGGGCTTAATTGGATATGCGGTGTTGTTCTGACCTAGAAAAACACATTGTTCATGATTCTGATATGTGTTACCAAAGGACTCCCAGAAAGAGACTGTGAATCAGTTACTACAAAGCTGAGGGCTCATAAATACAATAATTTATGTGTTTATGATTCAGTGGTAAAAGGAGGGAGGGGGAATTGAGTCCATTAGCCAAGCAAGCACCTTGAGGTCTCCATGTTCCGGCTGCCACTGTGGGTGGGAGACTTCTTCCTAGGCTTTCATGAGTCCATTAAACTTTGTTGGTTTTGCTGAGACACCTCCCACCTCTGCTACATCCTACAACTTGCCATTTATTCTCTTTCTAGCTCAGTTGACCAATTCGTGACGGATGGATGTTAATGTTTACTTCCTGCTGAGTGGTACTGTGAGATTTTGAACATGTAAAATGATACACTTGAGAAGCTTGCAGAGAATATTGTTATGTTTGAGTACTTCAACAGGATTCTAGCGGAAGGGGTGGGAACCGTTTGGACAAATAACACAGATTAAATGCACCTGTTACCTGAGCCAGTTGTTCTCTTAAAAGGGACTTGTTTTTAGAGGCTGGAGACCAAATAAATATGTTTTAAGGGTGGATTGATCCACAGAGGCATACAGGGAAGTGGTTGAACGCCCTGGCTTTGGGCTCACCTCTGGTTCTGCCTACTTGCTAACTGTGTTTCCCTGGTAAAATCATCTAACCCTCTGAGCTTTAATTTCCTCCTCTGAAAAGGGAGGTGGTACTACATACTTTAAGAGGGTTGTAGAGATTAAACTCGACAGCATGCGTTAAGAATTTAGCATAGTGCTTGGCACATAGGCTTCATCTATACATGTTGGCCGAACAGCTCTCAGGATGAGTGACGGTACCATGCCGATTTCATCATTTGGGGGTAACAGATGGAAAGAAATCTAAATAACACATACTTTAGGGCAAGGTTTCTGATTGATCTTTTGATCTCTTCAGAAATAAGACAACGTTGCATTGTTTGTTCTTCTCAATACTTCAGAGATTATGTTGTTGTTGCTTATTTTCCCCAGAGCTTTATGACCTCATATGCTACCGAAGAACCTCATACCTCATTTTATGATAATGTGGCTTTGCTCTTCATTTAAAAAAAAAAAAAGGAATTTTTGCAATAGTGTTTGTCCAATATCATAGTGATTAAAGAAAATCTAAGGCTACTTTTAACATAACAGATTTGTCCTGAAACTTTAATGGAATCAGAGTTACTTTGCACCAGGGAAAATATATTTCCTCTCTCTTTCCACCTCAATCTCTCCCCTCCTTATTCCACTGCATTATTGGTCAAAATTACCTGAGATTTTAAGCTCATTTCTCAATTATGATTAAAATTCAATACAGATAAACCTTGGGGCAATACAGTCTCCACGTGTTGTCAAAACAAAACAGAAGCACAAACAGCTATTACTAAACACTTCTTAATCATGATCTGAATTTCTTACCAGATGCAAAATCCCTCATTTGCAGTGGCAAAAGTTCTCAGCAACTGAGGTCTCACATTCCATTGCAAAATGAAAGAGCTGGAGTGTTTGTTTTTGTGGAAAAAAATAAATGCCACCAATAGCAACAACCCATATTAGTCACCTCTCTGGCTCTCTGATCAGATGTACAGAATGTTCCATGGTCTATAAATTAGATTATGATGATGGTCATGAGTCAGTGAGTGACCTGTGATATGAGTCAGCTGGCAAAGTGGTTGTCTAGTTAGTCTGCACCAAACCCTCAGATGGAATTGGGGTTCATATCTTTCTGGTAGAGCTGCCACTTTTAATATTAGGAGGATCCAGGAAAAGGGAAGTGAGAAAAAGTGGTTAGACAAGTTTACGGTCATGTCTGAGGAAGAGAAGGTAGGGGTAATGCTGGTGAGTGTGGGTGGGGAAGGGACGTCCTGGGTTGCATCCTCTCGTTCTTGCATTTAAACTCCTTCTCTTCTGACTATAAAATACAGTTGAAAGTGTAGACAAAGTATGTGAACAAAAGCTATGAAGAATGAATATTTGAGGTTTAATATCCCTAAAGGGAAAGAGAGATGACATGGAAGACAACTTTGGCAGCAAGAAATGACTGTTTTTATTAAACTGCAAAGCAGAATTAGGAAAAAGAGTTTGACAATTGTTATAGGTACCAGTTGTGTATGTGTTTGAAGAATCTGCCAAATGAAAAATTGAGAACCTTTTCTACTATAGTTAGTATATAAATAATATTTCCTAATATAGTTTCATTCAAGAAGGAATTCCTAAGAGGCAACAGTTTTAGATACTGATAGGTTTGAAGAAAGTTACTCTGTGCTGAAGATATTGTTTACTAAATATGAGTACAGATAGTTCCCAGCTCACCAAGTGGTGGTTCTCTAAAAAGCTCTTTTTAAACAGACTGTTTAGAACTTGTTATCTATTTATTAATTTACTTACATTCATTCTTTCATTCGAAAAGATTAGTTAAGCCCTGATATGTGTAAGACACAATTCTGAGCTTTTCAGATTCTAAGATGAATCAAATCCATCCAGGGCAAGACATGAGTTATTTCAAAGTCTAGGAAGGAAGAAAAGATATGTTTAAAAATAATTCTAATATTTGATAAAAATCACATAGCATCAAAAAAAAAAAAAAGATACACAAAGAGATAAAAAACTGAAGAAATTCAGAGAGTGATTGCTCACAGGTACAGAATTAACATTACCCAAAGTGGTGAGCCCTGGCATCTGAGCATGGACTTGGGAGACAGTCCAAAGGAATTTGAGTCTGAGACCCACATCTTACTAATCACGTAACCACTCTGGGCATCAGTTTCCTCATCTATGAAATGGAAGTCATAGAAACGCTGGTACTTCAAGAGTTATTATAAAAATTAGGCGAGATGTAGGTGAAACTCTTAGCCCAGGTCATGGAATATAGAAGATACTCAATGATGTTAGGTATTGCTAGTCCCAAAGTACTTTCGCTAGATCACACTAAATAGAGGAAAAAACACTAAGTAAAATAAACGTAATATCATGTGTCTCTGTGAGTCTAGGTCAGGGGATCTAAGAATAGAAACCCATTATTCTAAAAATAAAGAGATGCATTGAATGAACTATTTCTAGTCTTAAAATGTAAAATTTATCTTCCAGAATTGAAGTCAATTGGGGCTAAAGGTTACAGGGGATATAGGTTATAATTAGGTTAAATAGGTTAAATAATGGTACAGTGAAACCTACTACTTGTTTAAGGTGAAAATTGCAGTTTTGGGTATTAGAACATCTACCAAGCTGGAGATGTAGAAGGAAAA